CACACTCGCTGCCGATGAGTTAACGTACGATCGTTCAGTTCTCGTGGACGTTTGCAGTCGTTCATCTGTACCGCGTACAGTGTCAGTTATCGATAAATCGTCTACTAGCGCTTCCATTTGCGGTCAAATGGTGAGTGTAGCCTTGAATGCATTGAGTCTTTGTTCAGCTCGAGTAACAAAGTCATAATTGTATCCATCATCCACAAACATTCTGAAAAGTAAATTGGTAATATTGTCCAAATAATGGCACACTTTCTCACATACAGCACTTCTATCAAACGAGTAGTATTTATAACGATTTAAGGATGGCGAAAATTATTTTCGATTTACTGTATTGATAGCTGTATTGACTTTCTTTGATAAAATAATTAGGTTGGTTTCTTGCAGTTATAAACTCTTTACTCTATTAAAGCGGCCATACTGTAATCGCAAGGATTTAGGGACGGACTAAAGTTTCTTGAATATGTTCAAGATTTAGATGCACAATTGGTAAATTTGATAACTTTACGTCCATATTTATGAAATTATTGAAACAAATTCTAGGCAAGTTGAATGATAATAAAGACCCAAATAAAATAAGTGTAATTAATTCACGAACAGATTTAAGCATTCAACATCCACTTAAGTCTTGCATCTGTAATATTATTATAATCAGAATTATAGCTTAGTGTTTCAGCGACACTGAGCTAAGATGGCCGGACTTGTCTGCCCTAAGACAACACAACCTCCACCAGACAACTGCACCCAGATAAATGGGTGGGACTTTGTCCAAATAGTAATTCACTTTCACTTTTCCTTAGTGGCCCGGAAAAATGTTCATCAGTGTTACGCCCCATCCTTGCTTGTGCTATGGGTAAGAAGATGTGTCATTACTTGGACAACGCTACCCATTCATTTTTCTGAGACTATATCGGAGATGTATATGATTACATCTACTATGACGCTGTCACGCGAGCTTACTTATGAACAAAGACTATGCATTCGAGGCAACATTTTGCATGTGACAGGCAAACCTTACAACAACGAATTATCGAGAGCTGTAAATGTGCAGAGCAAAACCTTAAATGTAAAGAGCTACAACGTATAAATGTAAATGAGCAACATCGAATTATCGAGAGCTGTAAATGTAAGCGTTTAAAGATGAGCGACTGCGAACGTCTACTCGAACTCGAGGGTCTTACGTTATCTCGTCGAGAGCGAATGTGGAAAATCACGATAGCTCTAAAAATCCACGGACATTTTGTTTTATCTCTGAATGTGTACATCCTGATGTACATCATGAATACTGTAGTTGTTTACAGTCATTATAGATGCGTACGTCCACGTAACTGTTTACTTTCATGTTGTTTGCGATGACTGTTCAGCACAGATGCTAATTAATTTTGTTTCCAATCACAAATAATACAAAGGTGTTCACGAGTTCTGCACTCACTCAAAATATTCCACTCAGAACGCCCACGATTGCCGCCTGAATTCTTAATTAACTGCACACATTATTCGTTGGCAAAAAAGTTCTCTGATTAAAATAATAATAATAATTTGTTTATATCGTATCATATATTTTAAAGTTGGACAATCGGAGTGATTACTCTTCCAATTTTACGTTATGTTCAGGTTCCAAATATTCATAACTTCTCGTTTTGTTCGGTTGACGCCGAGTGGTTTGATAGGCACGTATAATAAAGAAGTTCTTGCATGAATAGGTTACGGCCAAAATATCGTACAAAGAGAGGGTTTTAATGAAACACTGATACATTTCATATTAAATTAGGAAATTTAAGTTCACATCCTACGTTAACAAAAAATCTCTAGTACATGAAAAAAAAGATAGTCCGAACAAATCAAAATTTAAAACCTATCGCAGTTAACATCACTAAATTGTCTATATATACCAGAAAACGTTGATCCTTTGCAGTTTCGTTGAGCAGACGACTGTTGCGATCGACCGTATAATACACACTTTGCAGCCGTAGGTGCAACGACCGTACTGCAGCTGTAACCGCGCGTTGGTAGGCCGTATTCCAAGTGGCCGTACTGCAGCTGTAGCCGCGCGTCGATCCCCGCGGGCGCTATTTCTTCATAACCGTCGTGTCTCGCTGATGTAGATGCCTCGTGTTGGTCTGGCCGTAGGTTTCTTGTCGGTTTAACTGCGGTTGATGGTTGTGACCGTATCGTTTCTTCTGATGAGTCATGGCGTCGTCCCGGCTCCATGACTGCGCGATGCCGCACGGCGATCACACAGCTTTTGCCCGTGCGACGATTAGATTTGTCACGGCATCAGTTCCCTGGCTACAGGGATTTCCGCCGTTGGTTAATCCAAAGGCGTTTCTGTGAAACTTTATTGAAATCTTGGGTAGCAACCTAAACAACGTAATCTGCAAAAAAATAATGAAAAAATGATTTTCAATTTGTCCTATTCTTTACAGATTCAGAGAACATTAACTCGACGAATTCTACATCGAATCCAAGATATCTATATTCCAACATATTATGCAAGTTTGATTGAAGACCAGAGCATGCTTTTTATTTACAATCTTCTTGTTCGTCTTTTCAATGAGTCGAACCAAATTTCTAGCTGGAGCCGGGAGATCGAAAAGCAGGTTTCCGAATGACATTTTAATAGATAGCGACGTTTCGAAAATACAATTTTCATTATCAAGCTGGTGAAGGTTTTACAACACTTGAAATTCAATTTGGAAATGACAGAAGTACATATGAATGGTATAGTGGATACAATAAAATAAAATAATGTGGATACAACAAAATGTTTAAACCTAAAATTACTCTGAAAATAATTTCAGCGTCCGGACGAATCCAGTAGTTTGGAGGTTGATAGCTGAAGACTCGCTCTTGATAATGAGGGCCTCAGCTATCGTCAATCTCGATGGGTCAGGGCACCGCATAACTATGCTGGTGCAGGCTTCCAATGTCGCTCGGGTGATGATCTCATTGTGAGCCTCCCGCATGTGGTTCTTAGGTCCTCCAGATTGTAGGTGGCATGTGAGTCGTCGGCTCAAGGTCGTACTTGTAAGTCCAATGTAGTTCATGTTTGGAAGAAGTCTACAACCTTCTTTATTACATGAGAATTAATAAAACACATTAGTTTCTTGAAGCAGACCAGTTTTTTTACAAGGATTATTATTCATTACAAGGTTTTTAATTTTCTCATTTTTGTAGTAGATCAGAAGTTTTATATTTTCGTTATCCGTTGTGCTCTTGACATCATCATGGATAATTGATTGGAGGACTCGTTCATCCACTTTGTAGCACTTCTGAAGGGGCCAGTGTCTTCGATGTTATACATGTGCAATTAATTTCTCATCTTACTTTCAAATATCAAAACGATGTTTTTTATAACTTTTTTATTATATAAAAATTTTCAACTTTTAAAATTATTCATTCTTTCAATTGAATCATGCATTATCTCCAACTTTACGCAAGTATGTAATATTTCAGATCGATTGGACGAGAAGAATAAAGTGTGTTAAATATTAATTATAAGCTTTATAGCAGATAAGAAGTGAAGTTAAAGAGAAGAGTTATAACAATTAGGGAGACGCCAAACATCGTACGTTTAAAGTGAAATGCAAATGGTGCATGTCGATACAAAATCAGTGCATTCAAACATTTTTATTTGAAACCAGACCAAAAATTTAATAATGCTCGCTTTCAACGGGTTTCGAAACAATGTCACAGTTGAATTTTCTATGTAGCTTTTTCTTGTTTACGAAAATTCTGCAGTATCTTGACGGCAGAAGAGACAAGGACTATAGCGCAGCACAACGCAGCACAGCGCAGCATTGCTGCGTTGTTGTGCTGCGTTGTGCTGCGTTGTGCTGCGTTGGGCTGCGTTGTGCTGCGCTGTGCTGCGTTGTGCTGCGTTGTGCTGCGTTGTATGACTACGACCACCATGACAGCGTGTGATTCGTGCCGCGACTTCACTCACTCAACGAAGGCGAGGAGGCCACAATTTTATAGATCGATGGCCTCCTCTTCCGAGTTTAACAACAATGTATTGAAATTGAAGACAACTTACACCAATGCTTGTTTTATTTATAACGCTGAATATTTTTCACATGAGCGAACACATACATAAGATAATTAACCTGATTTTGTAGGAGTCTCCAATGTTCTCAATAAAATTTCAATCTAATTAGTTCGGTCACGTAGATCTAAGGTTAATTAATTATCCAAAGTGTACATGGAACTTTTTATACCTGCTATAGCAGTTATAAAAACTTTAATTATTTTCTGTATTTATATTTTAGTGTCCGAATATGTCCTGGAGGCCAAGTATGGGCATCTTGTCTATGGCGGTTGCCTGACTGCCTCCGCTCAGTGTGCTTCCTGCACTCACCGAGTGTGGTGGGTGTCTGCGTTGCTCAGTTTGATTCAAGGGCGCGTGGGGAGAACTGCGCTAATTACTCACTAAGTCAATAGGGACTTTCTTTTTGATCGGTTATGATGTTTTTTGTTTTAGTGAAAGATAAATTCAAGTTCTTCAAGGGAAAAATGTTATTATATATGTTTTTAATTATAACATTTAATTAATTAATTATATTTTGCATTGTCAATAAATTTTCCTCTTTAGGAATTGAATTTTGTCAAGTTAAGATCATTTTTTGATTCTTAGAGATTCAAATTTGTATTCAGACTATTTTTTTAACGGAGGAAATTGGGTGTTTCAAGAAAAGCTCCTAGACTGGATTTGAATCCCGGTTGAAAAGATCCCGGTTGAACTGCTTGCAGAGGTCAATAATTGACTAGCGATATTACCATGGCTTGAATAAAATGCCTGCATTTTCGGAGATGCAAATAAAGGGATCACGAAAATTTTAGCTCATTATTTTCGTCCTTAAACGCAAGGCCTATTTCTCAAGTTGTAAACAACATTAAATTTTTGAGAAATCTAACATATAGAATATTAAGAAAATTCAGCCAAATTTCCTTAACACTGCAACATATACGAATATATTATCGTTATCATTAAACTAATCCAGATTTCAACCCGCATAATTCAACGCCCACAGCGAAAGATGTTAGTGGAGATTGTGTTGTTGTTTGTGTTGGTGTTGGTGTACGCGGTGCTGAGGGACAGGCGCCCCCGCAACTGCCCGCCTGGTGAGTGCTATTTAAACTCGCGAACTGTGAAGTAAATGAAGATAAATTAATTATATTTGAGAAAAAACTTTTTAAACGAATAATCTGTCAAACTTTTTACATTAATCAATTAATATTTATTAAAGAATATATAAAGAAAATATGATATTTCATGATATAAAGACAACACAATTGTGTTTTCTCAATAAGGTTACTTAAAAAATTGTGTTTTCTTACCGATCAGACATTATGATACGACATAGATGGAGGATCGATTCTCACTGAAACTCTTAACAATCCTGCATCAACTTATCTTAACAAATCACATTGCAGGTCCCGTGGAAATCCCTTTTTTCGGACGACTTCCGATCCCCAGCGCAGAAGTGGGCGAACATCTACGCAAAAAATACGGAGATATTATGTCGTTAGTGCGAATTAGGAGCCTCTTATGTGGTCATGAGTTACAGTACGACTCCGCCCCGATCTCAGTCACGCCCTTAATTCAAATCTCCCTCAAATCATGCCCTCCATTTATGTTTGTAATGTTCGTGAATTCCTATTCCTATCACATCCCATCAGTATGGCCATGAGTTATGGTAGTATGGCCGCTAGCAATGTTTTCACGGTCACTGCGAAAAATTTTCATCGAATCAAGTTGCTGACTCGTAGAAGTAATGAAAAATATCAAGTATAAATCTGTTGGGAATAGGACATCGTAAACTAAAAAGTTACCATTAAAAATAATCATATGATATGCATAATTTGAACTGAGCAATTTTAGCACGTTAAATAACGTATTTTATGTATTACCAAGAAATGTTCATTCCCATGCTAAATAAAAAGTAGGTTACTTTTGAAAATAATCAATTATTGATACTGTATATTTATATTCTTTCCATTAAATGTGCCCCAATACCGCAGGTATCGCACGGGCCCGACGCGGTCGGTGTTCCTGTTCGACTACAACACAGCCAGGGAGGCCTTGGCAAAAATGGAGTTCTCAAATCGCCCCAAATTTTTTTCGGTCGTCAGCATGGATGATAAAAAAGTTGGAGGTTAATGTTTAAATTGACCGATCTAAATATGTAATTCAAATTGGTACGATGATTTTTTGTGTTTATATTCGATATTACAACCATAAATTTCTATTTGAAATGATTCGTGGCATAGTCATATAAAATTCAAATAGTTTAATTTTTTACCTCGCTTACAAAAATTTCCACCTAGCTTCGAATCAGATTGTAACTCGAATATAAGATACTCACCAATTTCGTTGGAATGATAATCACGGAAACACGCACTTTTAATTTTGCTTTGCCGCTGATATTCTTATCCTCTCTGCCAGGGGTGGTTGGCAGCAACGGCGTACACTGGCAGCACGACCGTCGCTTTGTGCTGCGCAACCTACGCAACCTCGGTGAGATTTGTGTCAAATCATTATCAATATTCAGAAAAAAAAACAATCAAAATACCGTTTGATAATATAGTAACAAAATTAAAAATTATTCGCTGATTTCATTCGGTTTTTTATCATGTTTTCTAAAAAATTCTAAGATAAATTTGGTTCAACGTTGATTTTAAACAGGTTGAAAGATTCTTGGAGATATAGTATCCTCATTCCTCAGAATGATCAACTATCGTTCACGGAATCAAGTTACTAACTTTACTAAGGCCACTTCTTACATCTTGGGGCAATTCTGTACCTCATACCTTGGTAATATTCCTCCAATTATAAAAAATTGAGGAGCAACAACTTCAGGTATGGGCAAGAGTTACCTGGAGGAAGCCATCAACATCGAAGCCAAGGCGCTGGTGGAAGACCTCAAGAAGTACGGCGGTGAAGCCATCAACTACCCCGACAGCTTCAGGACTGTGGCGCTCAACATCATCTGGCAGATGGTGGCCAGTAATCGTGAGTCATGCTACGGTGATCGTGAGTCATGCTACGGTGATCGTGAGACATGCTACGGTGACGTGAGTCATGCTACGGTGATCGTGAGTCATGCTACTGTGATCGTGAGACATGCTACGGTGATCGTGAGTCATGCTACGGTGATCGTGAGTCATGCTACGGTGACGTGAGTCATGCTACGGTGATCACGGTGATCGATCACGATCTCTAAATAAATTTATAGACATAAGAATGAAGTAGAAATCTGTTGGGAATAGGATAACAAAAATTAAAAAGTTATTATTGACAATAACTCATGTAATATGCATGATTTGAATTGAACAATTTTAATGCGACAAAAAACGTATTTTTGGCTGTAAACAAAAAACGTTGATACCATGATGAATAGAAATTAGGTTACTTTTAAAAATAATAAATTATTGATACCGTATATTTATTTTCTTTATACTAGTTGTGCCCTAATAACGCAGGTATCGGACTGGCCCGACGCGGTCGGTGTTCCTGTTCGACTACAACACAGCCAGGGAGACCTTGGCAAAAATGGAGTTCTCTAATCGCCCAGACTTTATATCTGTCATCAGCATAGATGATCAAAAAATTGGAGGTTAAAGTTTATATTGACCGAAATAAATATGTAATTCAGAATGGTACAATGATTTTTGGGGCCATATGTTTTTATATTCGAAATTGAAACCATAAATCTCTATTTGATATTATTCGTGGCATTGCCAAAAACTTCGAATAATTTAATCTTTTAACTCACTTTTAAAAATTTCCACTACTTCCTAATTAGAGTGTAGCTTGAATAGAAGATATTCACCAACTCCATTGGAATAATAATCTCGGAAACATTCACTTTTAACATTGCTTAGCCGCTGATATTCTTATCTCTGCCAGGCGTGGTTGGCAGCAACGGCGTACACTGGCAGCACGACCGCCGCTTTGTGTTGCGCAACCTCCGCAACCTCGGTGAGATTTGTGTCAAATAATTATCAATATGCAGGAAATTTCTAATTAAAAAACTTTTTGATGCTAGCAACAAAATTGAAAATTACTCGCTGATTTCATTCGTTTCTTTACCAAGTATTTCTGAAATATTTTATGGTGTTTTGTTCAACGTTGATTCAAAACCAGTTGCAAGATTCTTGGAGATATGAAATCCTCATTGCTCATCTCCAGCTAATGATCAACTATCGTTCACGGAATTGAATTCTTAATTTTATTAGAGCCACTGTTTTCATCTAGGGGTAATTCTGTACCTCAAACCTTGGTTATATTATTCAAATTATACAAATTGAGGTGCAATTACTTCAGGCATGGGTAAATGCTACCTGGAGGTAGCCATCAACATCGAAGCCAAGGCTCTGGTAGAAGACCTCAAGAAGTACGGCGGTGAAGCCATCAACTACCCCGACAGCTTCAGGACTGTGGCGCTCAACATCATCTGGCAGATGGTGGCCAGTTAGTAATGTATTTTGTTGAATATCAGGATATCTTTATCAAAGTTACAACTTGATGCATGTAAGTATATGTAATCAATAATTTTCGTTCTAACATCATATCTCATATAGTTTATATTTGTCATCAAATTTTTTGCATAACACGTACTGGTTCTTGCCAGGTGCTCAGTCTGCACTGAACTGTAAAGTATTCCAACAAAATATCATTGCAAGGGAAATAATTAAGTTAATTTCTTTCTCTTAGGCACTCGGTACGACCTGCGTTCCGAAGAAGTTGAAACCATTTACCGCATGACCGAGAAACTTCGAAAAACTTTGTCAGGCTGGTCTAGTCTGCCATTGTTTATTCCTGCTCTCAATAAATTGCCAAGTTCCATAAAATATGCCATTTTTGGGGATGATATTTTTAGGAAGGTCGTGGAAGAAATGAAGAACATTGTAAGCGTAAGTAGATTTTGTCTATGGCAATGTATGTATTAACGTTTCATGCGAGTTTTTTTCCCTATATATATGCCTTACTCCTTATTGGTACAACATGGAAGAAATTTAAGACTTTGGAAAACAATTGAGGACACTTCTCATAATGGGCATTGACTTTGGAGACGTATTCCCTTTTATATTTTCATCCCCACCCTCGCATTCTCTGCCTCACCCACACCGTACCTCACTTTTCGTTAAACTACTAACGGTTCAGTCCAAACTCACACTTAACGCCCTGTTGTTTATTTCGCGACAGATGCTGTGTCATATTGAAAAACCATTCATGGAGTTTTCAAAAAATACAAACGATAACTTGTCTTCTACCTAATATTCAGGAGTGAGACGGATTACAAAGAGTTTAAAAAAATGTAAATCTGTCGCATTTTTCTATACCGCTCAACATTGGCCTTGGCTGTCGCATGTCTGCTCAGACAACTGCTCAGGCTCCCTAAAATAGCGACATCTTAATTTTTACTGAGTTAGTTCATATGAATCACTGAATTTTTCTTCTTCAGAATTCCTGTATTTATTTTCTTAAAGAAAGGAATAATTTCAACAATATTTTAGAGAGAATATTTGTAAATTGATTTTATCTATCGGTGCTAGGGAGTCGTAGACAAGCACCTGGAGGACTATGACCCCGACAACCCCCGGGACCTCATAGACGAGTACATCAAAGACATGAAGGAGAGCGAGGGCGATGACAGCTCCCTCTTCAGGAGAGGAGGTAATGTACATGGACACTGTTCAATGTGAATGCTGAGTTGAAGGAATAAGTTGAATAAGAAGCTGGCCGGTGGAGCCGGCCAGCTCCAGCGTTCTCTGAGCCATAATTGTGTGCAAATGTTTTTTTTGTGCTGGTGTTGCCTTGGACCACGGGTACTGTGTTTAGTATGCTGGTGTAGAACCTCTGTGAGGTTTGCACTATTTGTCTGTGTGTAGGTGGATGATCGCGCAAGTAGTGGCATGGGTGTTCTGTGTTGTTTATGGCTGCGGCTTTGAACTGTGTTCCTCTCATGTCGAGGTGCGTTTTTATCGTTAGTATTCTTGTTTCAGCATGAGGGTGTTCGATGCGGGGTGCTCTGTGTGCAGTCTGTGATTAATCCGAATGCTTTGTTTTGTACTGTTTGGAGTTTCTTTATGTTGGTGTTGGATAGTGCGGGCGCCCAGGCGGGGCTGGCATTTGTTCTGGTGAATTGTTTGTTTGTTGGCGCTAGTGTTTCTTTGTCTTTACCAAATTTGGCACCGCCTAGGGACCAAAGTGAGTTGAGTCTGATGTTCGCGTTGTTCACTATGTTGTTGGTGTGAGGGCCAAAAGTCATGGAGGTGTTGTAGGTGACCCCTAATATTTTTGTTGCGTGTGGGTTCGGGATCAGGGTGTTGTTTGAAATGATGTTTGGTCTGTATTGGTGCTCCTTTGTGTAGCTGGTCATTAATGTGCTTATTGATTTACTAGGAGCAACCTTGAGTCTGTTCAGTGTTAGCAATTGTGATAATGTATTGAGATATGATTGTTCTTGTTGAGAACATATGTCTGCGGCTGGGTGAGTAGATGTTATTGTAACGTCGTCTGCGAAGGAGGCAATATGGATGTTTGGAGGTGGTTCGGGTATGTCGTGCATGTATAAATTGAAGAGTGAGGGTGAAAGGACGGAGCCCTGCGAGACTCCGTTGGGTATGAGTGATGTGTGTGATGACTTGCCAGAGTAGTGTACGTATGCTTGTCTTCCTGATAGGTAGTTGGCTAGCCAGCGTTTGTTGTTGTTGTGTAGTGTGGTATTGTAAATTTTGTTTGTGAGAGGGAGGCGAGGGATGGCATCAAAGGCTTTACTGATGTCTATTGTAAGGAGTGGTGTTCTGTGTGCGGGTTTTCGGGAGTTGATGCCATCGTTTATGCTTTGTGAGAGGTTTGTGAGTAGTGTTGTGGTCGAGTGGTGAGGTCTGAATCCGTGTTGTGTTGGAGAAAGTGCAATGTGCGGAGTGGCTGTGTTCAGAATGAGGCGCTCTATGACTTTTGATGGTGTACAGAGGAGTGTGATTGGTCTGTATATGAGGCGGCCTCAGTGGGTGGTTTGTTGGGTTTGAGAATTGTAATTATTTTGCCAACTTTCCAGAAGTATGGTATTTTGGAATGTGAGTAGAAGAAGTTGGCAATGTTTGTGTCGTGATACCGTGTGGACCAAGGTGTTTGATGTGTATGTTTGTAATGTAGTCTGGCCCAGCAGCGGAAGTTTTTAATTTCTTTTATAACGCTTTAAGTGTCGTCTGCAGTGGCTAGGGTAGCTGTTGGGTTTAGTGGAAATTGTTGTTTGCGTCGGATGATGCGTCTGTCTTCTTTGTATTTGGGTAACCTACCAATGCTTGCATAGTGTTGAATTAGTATGTTTGCTTGTGCTTGTCTCGTGGGAGTATTATCTGTGTTAGTGGTGATTGCAGCGTGGGTGTGTTCTTGCTGCTGTTCGAGTTGTGTATGCTGCTGATTGTTCTGTAAAGTTGTGTGGTGTTGGATTTATGGTGTATCCAGAAACTTGAGCCAAGCCCGTTGCTGTTGTTTTGTGATTTTATTCTGAATTTGTGTTTATTTCCTGGATTTCTTGAGTAGTGATTGGGGAGTGACGGGTGAATGTTTGTCTGTTGACCTTGTTGGCCTGTTGCCCGTTCTTAATCACCATCCACCTTACAGATTTCGAACCTCATAAATTACTGCTTTCGAAAACTCGGCCACCGAGCTTGCATTTTCAGTATTTATATAAATGTAATTGCCGACATAATCCACAATAGATCTAATTGCTCGAGCTACATTATTCTTCCCTCAGCTTTGAACCAAATCGTCGGCGACCTATTCATAGCGGGATCGGACACGGTGAACAACATGCTGAAGTGGGTGGCCTACCTGCTCGCCCGGTATCCAGAGTACGCAACGAGGATGCAGCAGCAAATAGACGCCGTCGTGCCCAGGGACCGCATGGTGTCGCTCGACGATAAGCCGAGGTATTTTATTGAACCTGTTGAAATATTTTATTGTTACAATTGCCTTAATTTTAAGTCAAAAAAAGCGCAGATCTTGTTTAGTTCTTGTGAACAAAGGTACTGACAAAAATTAAAAAAGACTAAAACAGCATTTCTCATAAAACGAAGAAATATAACAGTGAGACACTTCAATTCTGAAATATTAGCATTCAAATCCTGAGTACTCCTGTTTTGCTGTTCCTGGAGTTAAAAATTTTTCTTAGCACGATGAGTGCGGCATGACCCACCGATGAGTTGCAAGGTCTTTTTCCGGAGAAATTCCGTGATTTATTTTTTTTTCAATTGCGTCTGCCGGGACGCATGCCGGAGGCCAGCTATGCCAAACTTCACACTTCGTTCAAATATCTTTCCGTAGGTAAGAGCGCTAGAGACATAACAAACTATGAAGTCAAGCGCTCAAAGCCATAGCGCCGGATGTCCATAGCCACAAAATAAGCTTGTTAAAAGTAAGCATGGTCATCCTGCATCTGGCCAAACCTCTTCCGGCATAACCTATTCAGGCCTAACCTATACAAGTTGCAACATTTCTCCACCTAAAACCAATCTGAGTGAACTTAACCTAACCTCATTGGCTGCAGGAAGTTAGAAAAGCAGCCCAAGTGTGTTGGTTGAGCTAGTCATTGGCTGCAAGAAGGTTGTGGGCCGGGAAAGCTTGAATGGGTTAGGCCAGAAGAGGTTAGGCCGGAGTAGGTACAGCCGGATGGGGAACTGCCTGCTTGTGAGCGAGCATGCTTAAGCATTGGCTGAAGACCTACGACACTATTATCTTTCTGCAGTGTGTCGCTTATCTGGATTACGGAGTTCGAGCGTAGTCTGCTGCCTCTAGCTCTGAGGCTGAGTAAAGTTAATGCATGGTGAAGCTAGGCGTTGGCTCCAGGGCTTATTTAAGAGGAAATTTTGTAGCCTACGGCTGCGTCCCCGCGTCTGTCGACAAAAATTTCTGATTACAGGACTACCCCATTAAATTTTAAAAAAGTAAGGAGAACAGGAAAATTTAATTTTACACCAGAACCTAAAAATTTACTAGTATATTTTGAATTATAGGCATTTTTTTCAGCGGACTTGGCCGTTTTTAGGCCATCTGTCAGCGCTGGTGGGTCTTGAAGCACTCAATGTGTTAAATCCCATATAAATTCAGCTACAATAATTAAAAAGCAAAGCAATAAAAATGATTAGCTACAATAATTGAAAAGCATTCAAGTATGCTTCATTAGACGCATTTTTTCTCCAAGATCGGTTGATTTTCTTTCTAACAAGCTACAAAAGTAATCCAGTAAATTGTTCAAATTTACTGGATTTAATTTACTGGATCAAATTGGATTTAATTTACGTTTTAATATTTACTTATTTACTGATTTAATTTTTACTTATTTACTGATTTATTTTACTGGATAAAATTTAAGCAAATCCTATTCAGTAAGCAAATATGATGATTTAAAGCAAGAAAATCTACTGTTGATCACATCTCAAATCATCCCCCTAGCTTGCCATTGGTTGAGGCATTCACTGTTGAAGTTTTACGGTACTCCTCCATGGCGTTCTTCAACGTTCCGAGGGCAACCAATTGTGATACGATCATCAATGGTTTCTTCGTCGCCAAGGTAAACCGATAACGATTCTTCAAATAAACACGGAACTAATAATAAATATTCACTGAAACCGAAATTTTTTGTCCCCATGTGCTAGTCAAAGTTTCATTTAATAAATCTGCGTAATTTGCACTTCGTCTATCTGACATACGTTCGTTATTAGTCGACAGCATAGGAAGTTAGGCCTTAGTGACGCTTTTACTTCACCATCAACATTTGAAAATTTATTTCAGTATTTATACATGGGCTTGTTCGGACCTTTGGGCGGCATGAAAAATTCAGGGGATAGAAATTATCAGTCTCGCGTCTGTTCTTAGACACCTAATGGGTTTCACTTAAACGCAGGGAACTACCGTGCAAGTGGCTAACTACTCCATCCACCACGACCCGCGGTACTGGGACGACCCCCACAAGTTCTACCCTGAACGATTCCTGGACGACAGCGCCACCAAGTACACGGCCCCCAAGCAGGGCTTCTTTGCCTTCGGGTCTGGTGAGAATTTGACGAGCAGTAACTCTGTTGAAAGAATTTCCTTTTAATTAGAGTGCCCATGCCATAACTGGCACAATAACGTAATAAATTATTTCGCCTGCCAATTAGGTTAATAAGAAGCAGTCGTATTTTGTCGGGTTCCAAAGGCCGGTTCCCTTGTGAATCAAGTCACGAAAAATTCAAGAATCGGCAACAGGCCATGGGCCTATTTCTTCAGTGCCGACACTTCTATTATATTCTATGAACAAGAATCGGCAACAGGCCATGGGCCTATTTCTTCAGTGCCGACACTTCTATTCTATTCTATACGGTACTAAAAACTAATGTTGCTTTTTTGTCTGTTGAAATCCTACATGTGGTTGATAAAGGCCTATAACATTATTTTAAATAACACGGGAGTGAAGTGTCTCATCGCGCCTCTCCATCTTCTTCTCGGACGCCTCCCTTCCACGAACCACGTGAAGGGATCGTCGCGCACATCTTGACGTTGTGCATGTCGATCGTTGCGCACATCTCAAGGTCGCTTATTACTTGTGGTTGATGCCCTGCAAACGTCGCGCTCTGACGATAAAATATAGTCCGTGCAATTTATTACTTAGCTGTGCTAATGTATATGCTGGGTCTGTAGTTGTTGTAGCCGTAATCGTTTTTCGCCGAACTCTTCTCCTAGACCGTGTCGCAGTCCGATGCTTAAATTGTAGAAGCAGTACATGTTGTAGAGTTTAAATCCCAACAGGTCGGCGTCAGTGCGTGGGGGAGCTGCTGGCCCGCATGGAGTTGTTCCTCTTCACCGCCGCCATCGTCCAGCACTTCGACGTGCGCCCCCCGCACGGCGTCGACATCAGCAGAGATAAATACGAGACCACAGGAAATTTTCGTTTGCCTCCAGACAACAAGCTTGTCTATAGACCCAGAACCTGATACACACTCTCTTCTGCTAACAATGTCTAGTTCATCACCTATCGTTGATCAGGAACACAATATCAATTCTATCTGAACCAGTCATGTAGTCATAATCATGTTTGAGCAGAAAAGGCACTCAAACTTGGGTTGTAAGTCCCACTGAGCGCTCTAATGTCCACATCATGTTTGTGACAGGTCACAAAGGTGCACATCATATTGTTGAACTGTTCAAAAATATGCACATCATGGTCTCGACACGCCTCTTGCGTAGTGGGTTCCATTTGTACTAGGATTACCTGACGAGAAGGTTTAACAATAATTTACCATTGTCATTGAACGTTCAATCGCTACGAAATATGAAGAAATGGTCACAAGTGAATTATTTTATGAAAAAGGTTATGAACAACGTATAATATATTCATGGTCGTCATTGATCGCAAGTAACATGAAATAATTCCATTCAGTTATTCTTGATGCATTTTATATAGCTTTGCAGCATATTGTAATGAAATTTATGCTGAAATGACCGCAAAATACGACATTTGGAAGTTTTATTTTGGTAAATCATTTATTTCTTATTGGTTTTGTTTTAATTGCGGCCATAATTGACGTTGTGAACTACTTAGTTATATCTGCTAAGTGTTTAAATTATATATGATCTGCTGTTGTTCGCTTCATCGTTGTTCAGATACTGGAAACACTGCAACCTACCTTCAATAGACGTAATTATACATTATTTTGCATCATTTTATGCAATAAATCAGAGGCAATATTCATCATTGCTATAATTTTCAGTGGCAAATTTAGCAAGTAGCCTTCAACGAATGTAGATAATGCAACATATTCTTTCTTTGGAGTGCTGCATAGTCTATTACCTTCTTTGTCTATTGGAAATTCTATTCTCAATAATTTACATTTTTTTATTAACTACTTCGCTTGACATCGCTGAAGAAGTACAGATACGTGGTCACGTCAGGAGAGAAATGAATTGATACGATGTAACTAGCCTTCGTTATTTATCATTACAAGAAGTTATCAACAGAAATGTATAAAAATGATAACAAAGAAGATGATAACAATAGTAAAATAATAATAGTTAAATTCAGTAAACTGATTAACGTTCATGCGCAGTGTTTCGTTTTTGGCCCCAACTATCTATTTGACAGATGCACTAATTTACAGACGAAATTTATTGAATACAAAGCAGTGAATTAATATGTTCTGCCACCCAGTTGAAATTCTAAGCCGCAGCCGGCGATGCTGCAGCGCGTTGGCCGTTACGAAGAACGGAGCCGTAAAACAATAACTGGCCAACTATCCCTAAAACAGCGCTGTGCCATGGCTAATATATATATATTTATACTTCCACTTATCTGGAATATGATTATTTTTTACCCAATGAGTGATGACCTATGTATGATTGTGAAAGAAAGTAAAAATAACCTGACCTGGCTGGACCTAACCTTAGTAGAAAGGTGTCAAGCAACGCAAAAAAGGGTTTATACACACCTAACCCTAACTCTAACCCTAACCTAACGAGGTTAGCGTTTTTTAGAATGTCCGGTAGTGTAGTTCATTTATTTTCGTGGCTTGTTTTCAAGTACAAACTAATTGCAGAGTACATAACCGGACTCGATTTTGTCCGGATATCTAACCCCTGTCCTGTAATATTACCAATCCTGTCCGGCTATTGAAGGACTCCCGTTGGCTGTTGCAGCGCTTGCACAAGGACTCCGCGCCAACTAGGCGAGCAGAGTACTATGAAGGCTGTGCAATAAAAGGGGGGTTTTGAGAGAGGGATAATTGGTAAGAGTTGGAGTCAAGGGAGGGACTCCGTTCTTTATCTAGTTCATGTGATATAATACGCTATTTCGGGTCTTTTATTGATAGCAGTTATGATTTTTAAACCGCGTATGAATTTTATTAGATATCTTTGAAATCGTAGGAATTTAATTTTCTTTCCCGTTTGAAGAAACAGAAACATTTAGTCTCAAACAGAAACATTTAGCCTTATGGAAGTTAAGGATTGTATGGACGTGTTAAAGACCGGATACTGAGAGGCAGGAAAATAAAAAGGGGAATCGAAGTTCTCTGGTTTATTATGGTAGTCAGACAAGGAAAAAAATGTGAAGAAATGCCTACTAGTTAGATAATGTACAGAAGAGATTATGTGTTCAGACAACCCTAGTAATAATTCTACAATGGTTCCATGTCGGGCCCATGCGACAATGTGGAAATGATGTGGCATTACGGCGGTTTCAATATATGGGGCCCGCATCGCTGTTATCTTACGCTGAGTCTGCATGACTTTGTTATGTGACTACAACGTTGTACAAATAAAGCAGAACCAGTAAAGAAATCAGTGGTGTTGGGTATAATATTAATGATAATAATAACTCGAAAAGGACAAAAATTTAGTAGAGAGTGTTCAAGAATGTGCGACAAGGATAATTCCAGGCTTGAAGGGCAAGTCCAATGAAGAAAGGTTAAAGATTATTATAAAGAATATGGCTCTTTGTTCGGGGGATTGCTCAGAATGAAAACTCGTTGTGGATTGTAACGGTTTCTGAAAACAAATAACAAACAATTTGAACACAAATTGAGGTTATTCGAGATTATAAACAATGTAGAAAAAATAGCCAATGTTAACAAGCAATAAAAGGATCATAACATAAGTAAATGATAACATACCAAATTGCTGAACAATCTCGGACAAGTTTGGTTCAAAATGAATTTTGTTCTCTGGTCCTACCTAAAAGCTCCCAACCTTATGTACACGGGAGAAGTATGTTCAGTAAAATTTTTGCAATTATGAAGCTTCCAAGCCTCTGTTATCGACGTCCGCGTGGGGACCTCATTGAAGTATACTCATAGTTTATACAAGGTCCCAGAATGATTGCTAGAATTTGAAACACGAACAAACACCAGGAGCCACGGCTATATACTAAAAAAACTTCGTTACATTTCGTCCACGCAACATTTCTTCTCGCTTCGAGTCACCGACATGTGGAGCAGCCTCCCCGATTACATTGTTGACTCTCCGAGTATGAACGCGTTCAAGAACAGACTAGACTATGGCGACTATGACTATGGAGAAATATATGTTCAGACTTGAAATGACTAGCACCTTGGCAATTTCAAACTATCGTCAATTTGGGAAATATCCGGTCAAAGGTTATGATTTTAGATCTCCAGTGAACCACGAAAAGGAAAAGAATCAGCGACCGACTACATCAGGCCTATCCTTCAGCGTCGACATCACTATGATATGATAGATGCTCAATTGTGTTCCTGTTGTCCGTCAAGGTTGCCTTCTTGAGACGTGACTCACAAGAGCTGAGTTAGACAGTCACTGTCAGGCTTGCAGAGCGAGTGCTGCGGCGTCGGTTAGCCGGCACCGCGGAGGTCACACCGCAACTGCTTGTAATATTTTGGCGTTGGTTATGGCTTCCAAAATCTAGGCGTCCCAGAAGAAGAATGTAAACAGTGTTCAGAGTGAATTAAATACCATGTTGCACAAACATTGACTGGATTATAACTTAAAATTGAATATCTTTATTTTGCTTAATTACTTTAAATATATGTCGGAAGTATTCATTTAAACGCCTGCATGTATTGCGAAGCCTCTGGCAGTGAAGTATCTCGCATGTCAATGTCCTCAATAATGGTGCAGGCAAGAGGCTAGTGTTGAATTAGGATACTTTGCCGACCACCAAACTTATGACTTTTCTAATGTTGCCCGCACAAATTGGCTGCAATAACCTACAAATATTCATCGCCAATTCGAGGATGAATGCATATGAGTTTTGAATAAAACCAATTTGTTGAGTGAGGCAACAAGTCAGTAGCCACTGATATGTTTCGTGAAGTTCGCAGCGCATTAGCCAAAAGTTGTTCACGGCTTGAATGAATCAAAATGTGAGTGAGCGTCGGTGACTTTTCGACTGCGTCCTAAATTTAATCGAAAGTTTCAGTTGTCCTCGCAAAAATTATGCATAGGAACCATGCTAGTATTTTGCAATAACGCGAACACTAATTTAAGGTGTTTACACTCTTTGTGATTATAAGAAATTGCATATTAATTGAGGAAGATTAAATTATTGGGCAAATAGTGATAGTTAATTGTGGACTAATAATTGATGAAAAATAACGCTCAAGTCTGTTCATTCGATCAACAATAATTGTTTACAATTGTACACTGCATTAAATATCATGTATCCCTCAATATCAGGTATCAATATCGAGTATCTAAACTAAAATTCATGTGTTTGAAAATGCAATCTCATTATTTTAAATGCAAATACACATTTTTATTCAGGTCTGGCCAACCCTGGATTGTGAAGCATTCAGAAGGCCGCAGTACAGGTTCATTTGTGATTGATAAATTCAGTTATTTCATTACATCAGTACAGAGCAAATATCTTATACATCTAAGCAGCTTTGAATATACCCCCAGTATGTAGTAATTTTTCCGCTCATTGCATCATGTACAACAAAGTTAGTCCTGGTACTGGAAAATGTTAGTGTCATCGTACGTCCATCAGTCTATCATCAATTACGATTTATACTCTTCCTTGCAGTCTCTGATGCCATTAGATCGCATTACAGTCGGCGGTGCACTTGACCAGCTCCAGATCTCCGGAACAGCTATTGGCTCTTGATGATGCAACCGAAGTGCAAACACTTGCAACAGCATTCAAACTGATTTCGCTCGGCTTAACTTTGCTTTATTTTACTTTATGTTGCTCTATGTGTGTGGTTAATGTTTGAATAAAATGTCAGCGAAATTTACTCTATGAAATTTTTAGTTGGATTTTGCTTTTGTGTAGCGGTAATTTATTGTTAGGATATTTATATTGCTGACATTATTTATATTATATATATATAGAATTGTTCCTAGTGTTATTGTAATTAAAGCTAAGTCTTTAAACACTTTATTGGCTGATTTCTTTGAACTTTAACAAAGTGATTATTTTATTTTTAATATTCTTATGAATGGTTCAGACACTTGCAAGCAATTAGACAAAAAATCTTTCAATCGACAAATTTCATTGAAGTTACTGAGCTTCAGTCCTCGCTGCCGGCTGAAAGGTAGAGATAAGAGAGAGATCAGGGATACGGCGATAATAGATTTGTGCAACTCATCTTCTTTGCGCTTGATACCAGCTTCAGCAAGTCATGCTTCCTCCGTCATGCTTCGCCAAGTCATGCTTCAGCACGTCATGCTTCCTCCGTCATGCTTCAGCACGTCATGCTTCCTCCGTCATGCTTCCTCCGTCATGCTTCCTCCGTCATGCTTCAGCACGTCATGCTTCCTCCGTCATGCTTCAGCAAGGCATGCTTCCTCCGTCATGCTTCCTCCGTCATGCTTCCTCCGTCATGCTTCAGCACGTCATGCTTCCTCCGTCATGCTTCAGCAAGGCATTCGGCCTACTTATGTGAACGTGGTGTTTTGAATTAAATCGAATAAATGCTAGTCCAATTTTTCGTCCGTAAGATTTTACATGGATTTCACACTTGAACCAAAGTGTTCAGAAACGCCGATCATAAGGATTAGTTAATGAAATTCCGTGTCAACAAGAGCAATTCATAGTCCTCTTTTAGTCTGTTTTCAACTGCATGCATAATTTCATTAAAGATTCACCTGAACGGCTTAATCGTGTACGCCTTGCTACCCGTCTACGGATATTGCTGCCGAAAACTAGTCTTGTTCGGCCTAATTTAAAGCTGGTAGATTGCAATAAAAAAATAACAGCGACTTCAGAAGCTTGTTTACACAATAATTTTTATTATTGCCGTCGTTCAGGGACGCCCAAACTTTCCCGCAATCATACCCGAGATAAAAGATTGTTCCTATAAAATGGTTTCTTCGTTTTTGTATAGTTAAAACCAAACTATTATTTCGGCCCAGAAGTTAAAACCAAATTATTTTTTGGAAATTTCGGCCCAGAAATCTTTGTCCTCGCCCACTGTTCAGTTGCTTCTAGATGGATTGTGAATTTAGAGGTCCGCGAAATGTGTATTTTTTATGCGATGATGCGTCTCTGGCTTCTAGGAGGAATAGATGACCATTTAGTACTTCTACTAACTACCGAATTTGGTAGTTAGTAGAAGAATCACCATAATATTTTTTACTCTCATGCTTAGAATAGTACACATTAAATGCCTATGCAGATACGTATTTGATACCATTAATTACAGTCATTTATTAATTGCACTGCTTTATTGATCAGTCTATCGTTCGATACGAGTCATCAAATCGATACATTACAGCCCGATGTAATGACAATGAGATGCAAATATAATTTATATAACAAACAAGTCACCACCGCAATTGCCATATAAGGCTTTCTTGCTGGGTTGATTGTTCAACATTTTCTATAGATATCTCTGGCAGCAGCACACACTGATAAGAAGCCACTTCTCCCGATGTTGAGACTTGATGCGATAGGCTGATATGGTTCAGTTGCAGTGGTCGCTTGGTGGTCGTACGGTAATGTAGTGCGACAGGATAAAGGTATCAATAGAATAATGCCTGTTGCTACGAGTTTTTCATCACCGGCAGGATAGGTCGACTTACAATCCATGTAGAAATTTAATAAGGGAATCGCGATGGAAGTTGGTATATGGCATTGTCAAAGAAAATAAAATTTTTAAGTGGTTCAATGTTCAAATTGTATCTTTTCATCCTTAAATTACAGCTTGTGGGAGCGTTTGGAGGAATAATCGCAAATTATTACGCATGACGTTAAAGACTATTGAAGCATGAATGATTGCTAAACTTATGTAGGTGAAAATTATATTTGAATGGAAATATCGATGTAATTGATTTTTGCTATGATTTCGGAGAGCACGTAAGTCAGTCTCTCTATGTCCGCTTCGGCTCAGTGTTTGGCGGACAGCCTCTGGGCAGATTGCTAGCTCGGTATGACTCAACTCACTCGGTCAACCCTTGTCTCACTCTTAGGCGACTATAATGTCGGAAAGGGGATTTTGAGCAAAAACTGATTTCGATCTGGCGGCCAAGCAGACCCAGAATAACTTTGCGCCGAGGGTATCGACTATCCGGCTGAAGCCTAGGCGGTCTCCGACGTTGTTATATACTGGCGTGAAGTTCAATTGGTGGACAGTGATGGAGGCCAGAGATAATTAAGTAGTTTAAAATTTATCATGTTCGTTGATTAATATTTGTTTTTATTTTCACAGAACCTCTCTCAAGTACGGCCTGCCAATTTACTTAGGTTTTAAGTGGTTTAATCCTATTTTGTATTTAGGTAGTCACAGCAAAATGTGGGTGGAGATAGGATCGTTGTTTGTGTTGGTGTTGGTGTACGCGGTGCTGAGGGACAGGCGCCCCCGCAACTGCCCCCCTGGTGAGTCCCTAGTCGAACCTTGCAAACTTTCAGTAACATTGCTGTTATATTGCCAACTGACGATGAAAAGTATATAACTTTAACGGTTTATAAAATGTAAAATAGGTATATGAATTTTAATAAATACTCAGGTCTAATTTTTAAAAAACCCATGAGCTATGTTATGATTCAATGCGCATGTTGCTCTTCTTGTATTAAACATTTGAATTGGAAAAAATTTTTTATCATGGGAGAAGTTCAGAATTTGAAATTAAGAAGTATCTAATATCAGATGGAAAATCAGTTAAAAATAATATAATATGCAATATGTAATATAATATAAATAATTATTAATTATAAAATAATATGCAATATATTTCCTCACTTTGAATAACAATGCGTATATCTTCTCTCACTGAAATATAGATCGGTAAGATCATTCTAGGTGCAATCCTTATTTGCATTTTATTATAAATATGTCTAGGGACACATCTACAATCTTTAGGCTTTACTAATCGTATCTTAAGTCGTAACTAGAGCTTCTTTCGCTATGAAGGCGTAATTTAGACCTCTTGTGATTTGTTGTCCGCTTTGGATTCCGATTTGGACCCGTAGTCCAATTTTTCGAGGCACTTGGGAAATTTCTATACATATTCGATTGACCCAGACTTACAATTGCACTCTAACCTATTCGATTGCAAGCTCACTAATATTAGATATTTTTTACTTCGTTTTAACTAACACATCCATCTGTTAAAATATTGTACTGCGTTTCAGGCCCATCGGAGATTCCGTTCATCGGCAACATGCCGTTCTTCGACGAAAAAACGGCAGCTGAGCTACGTAAGAAATACGGCGACATCTTCATGTAAGATAGTGAGGGCAATAAAATTTATAATTTTAATTTATTCGACGGATTAATAGTTATTGAGAGAAAAAAGTAGTAAATACTTCAATTTCAGATAGCATCTACATGAGCGAGAAATCGTAACAAAAATTCACGTAGCCTCTCATCTTACAATGGAGCATATAAATAATCAAAATGTGAGAGCGCATAGGTAAATTCAAACAAAACGCGCTTCTTCTTTTTAAAAATTGTGTTAGAAGAGACGAAGCTGGAACTTGATGGAACCGGTTTGCGTTTTCTCCGTGAAAATTAAACTAACATTATTATGAGTATAATAGTCAGACATTCTGATAATTTGGGGATTTCAACTTGACATTCCAGTCGGATTTTCTAAAGTTGGCGACTAACAATTATGATCTCAATTTTAAAACCTTTTTATTGACAGATAAAATATCATATGAAATGAATGAATGATAAAACCCTTGGGGTTTTCGGGTGGATAAGATCATTAATACTGAAACCAAAAGTTGAGGTTCAAACCCCGCGACTAGTTGAAATAATTCTGGTCGAAATCGGCAAGGTAACTATAGGTGGTTATACGCATGGGCAACAGGCCATACTGACAAGATCAAAAAGCAGGAACCACTATATTATGGGCGGCTAAAAATATGTTTGTAATTTGATATCCGGCCATCGAAGTGTGAGGTCAGGCAGGAACTTGCCCGACATTTATTATTGTATGTTTATATGTAAAATCTTTTCTAATTGGTGTTTGTCATATTTTGAACCCCAACAAATGTTTATAAATGGATAAGCAATCAGATTAAAATTTTCATTGTTATACATATTCGCAGCTGATACGAGGACTTGTAATATTATAGCAGAGCCATTCGATGTCAAAATTTATTGAGCCAATAATATTAAAATCCTTCATCTTCTCAACGAAAAATGTAGCAGACTCCTAAATTTATGCCCAGACTCAAATTAACGTGTACACGTATTGTGGCACGCCGCTCAAGCGAGAGAATTCCTAAGGTAGAGTTTTAATTTGATTAAGATACACGGCACGGATAAAATAATCACCACATTTCTTTCAACACATACACAACATAAGGCACCGCACAGGACCATACCGCACCGTGTACCTGTTCGACTACCACACCGCCAAGGAAGTTATGTCGCGCCCTGAGATGTCCGACCGCCCCAGCTACTTCGCCACCTTCAGCCTAGACGACCAGAAACAGGGAGGTGCGTATAATAAAAATAGTCATTATAACTGATGAAGTAACACCAGCATCGAGAGGGTTGTCGTCAGGAAGCAACTGCGTAGGCTCCGAAAAGTTTGTGCGATTATCGGTAGTCGTGAAACATCCAAGTGTGTTTGCGGTCTCGCTGTTGATAATTTTGTAATACGAGTTGATTCTCTGCTTCATTCGGAGCTTTAAAATACCGAACTGCAAACCAAAAATAGTTTGAAAAAAAAACAAAGAAAAGTTTCTGTATGAAAGAAAAATATAGGGTTATTGTCCAGAAAAAAATTATTTATATAACTACAAGAGCGAGCAGAAGCACAACACTTAGTTATTTAGTTTTTAGAGTATATTTCTGAATTGATTTTTTGATTCTTCAAAATATCAGTAATAAGACTTTTGTTCACCAAAGGCTTGGTCTCCAGCAATGGCGTACACTGGCAGCACGACCGTCGTTTTGTTCTGCGTAACCTCCGCAACCTCGGTGAGTTTGCAATCCGATTGTAATGTAGATAAGGAACTGAGCCTACTGATGTAATTGCAATTTTTTGCGTAAGTTGGATGAAAATATACTTATAACATTCATTGTTTGTGAGATTTATTTCACTGACACACTACTATAGGCATGGGCAAGAGTTACCTGGATGAAGCCATCAACATCGAAGCCAAGGCGCTGGTGGAAGACCTCAAGAAGTACGGCGGTGAAGCCATCAACTACCCCGACAGCTTCAGGACTGTGGCGCTCAACATAATCTGGCAGATGGTGGCCAGTGAGTGTGATTAGGTATATTTTAGGTATCCCATATCAGAAAATATGGAAATGAGAGCATAACAAATTGTTTTAAATGATGGCAAATTTTAGGAAAGATTTGATGAAATTCAGAATGCTTCTTTGCCTGATGGTAGACGTTAAACTTCCCGGTATTGGAACATGACGGTTACAGTTCGGTTAACAGTAAATTAGAGAGTACTCTGCTAACTCTCGTATAGTTACTAAAGTTGATATGGAGTTTTACGATGCGATGAATTAACGCCACTAATGGCGTGGAATTATGTCATTTCATGCGAATTTTAATACAAATGATATTCTTCGAATTTTGCAAAGGCACTCGGTATGACTTGGACTCTAAGGAAGTCGACGCCATCAGTCGCCTGACGCAACAATTTCGCGAAAGCTCATCTGCGCTGTCCGCTTTGCCGACATTCTTCCCTGCTCTGAACCGCCTGCCCAAGAGTGTCAAAAACTATCTTTTCCAGTCGGACCTAGCGGGAAAATTCATCGATGAAATGAAGAGAGTCGTGATGGTAGTAAAAGTTTTCTAAAATTTACCGTGTTCAAATATATAACATTAAAGATAATATATGAAGGCATCTTAACTAACTGCTTGTTGCATTTCACGGTGAGGTCATCCCCTACTCGAAAAAACTCATCAAATAAATAAATAAGCGCTCTATTGTGCATACATAATGTCACAATCGCATTACATAACTCTCAATAAATCAATTGTTATTTTCTAGCTGCAATGCGTAAATTCAATAAGATAGTTCTGTAACTGAAAGAAGTGTCAAGTTTCAATGGGGGCTTCTAAATTTCACTTTTCAACTAAGTGGCCAAGATATACAGTATGCTAAAGTAAAAAAAAAAGTCCCAATTTTACGCCTACACCTGACCAAATTTTATTCAAATGTCGTTATATGATAGATGATAATCTATAACAAAGATTTCTGCAGTGATTTAAAATAAATCAATAGATATTTCAAGGCTTGATTCTTATCCCGAAACCTTTCCCGTGCTAGACTGCGCATGCGCGTGGGGGCTTCCGATGACTTCTGATCTCCTTCTAATATCCAAATGACAGGAAGCCGTTGACAAGCACCTGGAGGACTATGACCCCGACAACCTCAGGGACCTCATAGACGAGTACATCAAAGACATGAAGGCCAGCGAGGGTGACGAAAAATCTTTCTTCAGGAAAGGAGGTACGAAGATATTCATTATTTATTTCCTATGTTTCGTGTTATTTTGGACCTGAATATCTCAATTTAGTTCTTACCATGCTGCCAATTATTATTAGATTTCTCGAATACAGTTCTCTACGATTTGCAATTGTGGTAGAATAGTTAGGTCTCAAATATTGCACTGAACGAAAATTGTTTCTCTGAAAACTTGGTCTTCGTTCCTTAAAGTCCCTTCTTTTCGGGCAACCCAACGTTTCAGCAAAATTGACCGTCAGATTTCATAAAACAATTTTTGCGTGATCATGTTACCGAATTGCACAGTTATAAAATTCAAGTTTTTCGTGAAACATTGTTATATTAATACAAAACCTGCACGCAGCCCTCTGCCAAATCGTCAACGACCTCTTCGGCGCGGGCTCCGACACCGTGCATAGCATGATGAAGTGGGTGGCCTACCTGCTCGCCCGGTATCCAGAGTACGCAACGAGGATGCAGCAGCAAATAGACGCCGTCGTGCCCAGGGACCGCATGGTGTCGCTCGACGATAAGCCGAGGTACATTAATAAATACCGAAATCTGTTCAGTAATTGGTAACATGATTGGTGAATTGACATTTCTTCGTAACTCTGACTCTGCTTGCTATTAAAAAGTCTGCTTTCGCCGTTCAAGAGTACGAAACAGGTACTTTGTAGAATTTTCTTACTCCACAAATCTATTTTATCCGTGAGGGAACTGGATTAAATGTATTTGGACAAAGAAGGAATTTTGGTGCTTCGATACATTCCCTAATATTTGTTCCAGTATAAGTACATTCATCAGTTTTCGTGTAATGCTATGGGATTTCCCTGATGTCGAATTGTGCCAATTGGATGCGTATTGGAGGCCAACAATGACAAACTCTCCTATTGATCCACATTTTATTTCGCCAGCGAATATAAAGGTATTTTAGCTTATAGGATAAAGTGCTAAAACTACCGGAGTCGAAAGTCCACAGCTACTGTTTAAATGTTACCCATTTTACAAATATATGGCTCTACCTCCTAACTTGCCCAAATAAAAGCTCTTCTTAATCTGATCGAACATTCCGGAAATTGAGGTAAGCGTGATTCAGGGTAAGTTAGAACCCCAAGAAGGCCTTTAGTTGGGGAAGTTAGTCAACGAAGTTAGTTGGGGAAGTTAGTCAAGTCAATGGGGAAGTAAGAATTTTAGGCCCTGGTTAGATTTAAATGTGTGAAATGGGAATAAGGTCAGCCGGTCCTGTGCGGAGTGGTCAAAAAGTTTGAAACAGCTTAAGGGATTAATTTACCTATGATGCAGTAACCTTCGAGAACAGAAAACAAACATTTTCCTTTACTCTTGAAAACCTCATTTAAAATTTCTATTTTGTACCTATTGAAAATGATACCGAGGTCTCTCAGAACATAAAGGCTGCCTCCTCCAGTCCCATATGCAACGTGATGCTGGTAAACGTTAGTTTGATTAGGCTTTTACCAGACTAACACGCAATAACCTGCATGACGCTCTAGTTTTTTTCGGCCATTTCAACTCACCGACCGTGCATCTGGCCGAAATAAATCGACCGTGCCTCGTATTTATTACCATAATTTATGAATGTCTCACTGATCAGAGAAGAATGCAACACAATTGTGGATAAAGTAGCTGCGATTTTTTGTTTACTCAGACAAGATGTAAATTTCATGTAGCTGAAACATCATTTTCGACGTTCTTAAGTTAGTTTCACAAATTGAATCAGTGGACTCATACTAATGAGTGTATGAGAGTAATATGGACCTAGTGCTGTCTTGAGTGAGTTATTTGAGCTGCGGCAAGTCATTGAAATTCTTGAGCAAATCACTGTAATATGAATACATGTAGTAACCACCTAGATTACTAAATAATACTACGATTATTCCCTCTTAATTAATGCGTTTTCGCAGATTGGTTGTAGTATTTTTTTCTTTTTCAACATCAACTTATAAAGTTGGCAACCAAATTACTAAACTGTCAAAGACTAATAAATGTTTATGTGTGCAGCTTGTGTCTCGTGGAAGCGTTCACAACGGAGGCGCTGAGATTCTCTTCTATGGTGGTTGCGAATGTGCAAAGATCGGCTTCTAAAGACACCAACATCAATGGTTACTTCATACCTAAGGTGTGAACACTCATCAGGGCTCATTTGAACTTCAGCTTCTGATTGACTATTTATAATTGCAGCTTCAGACGGGAGACGCGACATGCTAAACAATTTTGAAAAAATACATGTAAATGGAGTCTCAGCAACAACCTCCGACAATATTCACTGAGAAATAAAAGCTATTAAAATTATAGATTCTTTCTCAGTAAATGTATACAAAAAATCATTTTGCTTCAAGTAAAATTAAAAAAAAACTCCACGAGGACACAGCGCAGAAACAGCGAATTTGGAGATCACGTGTGATGAAGAAAACAAAATTTCAGTTTGATAAAAATTAAGTGTTTTGATTAGAACTAATTAATTACACGTAAGTCCTTCTTCATATAAGTAATTTATTTTTTCATTTATTTGCCATTGCCTAGACCTTTTGTGTCAAAACGCAAGCAGGCTTCGACACTTAATGATTTCGTATGTTTATTTTTCACTGGAATGAATAAGAGAATTGCGTAATTCAGATTTCTTTCGTAAATTGTTGCATGACTATTGAGAAATTATTGATTATCAGATCAAAAATTCTTATTTAATTAAATCAACACTTGCTACTATGGTGATTTTCTCTTTTTAATTCCATGTATATCTGAAATCGATTGCGTTTTTCTATATCTAGGGCACTGTGGTGACTGTGGCGAACTACTCCATCCACCACGACCCGCGGTACTGGGACGACCCCCACAAGTTCTACCCTGAACGATTCCTGGACGACAGCGCCACCAAGTACACGGCCCCCAAGCAGGCCTTCTTTGCCTTCGGTTCTGGTGAGACGACGTCTGTGTGGGGTCTAAAGATTCGTTGTGGTATGAAACTTGATAGTCATTATCAATAAGATATAACTTGACCGACGACACAAATACCAGCAATAGGGCTGCCGTAATACATGACACAGAGCTCTTTGAGGTAGCGCGTACGACAATGTTTGGAATCCGAGAGTCATACGAGGTGGGCCTTATAATAACTTAAACCGCTTTTAAATCTCGGTCCCTACATCTGGGTAGCTGAACACCGCGTCGGGGGGCTATCGTTCGAATCTGCACCTCTCAAATCAGTCTCACTTTGCTATGCCTTTTACTCTGGCGACATACCTGGAGTGGCGAGCTATTCTCAAATACTTGGTTCCACATCTGATGGTTCAGATTTAGGAATTTAAAATGAATGCATATTTTCAAGTGGAAACCTAACCTTAATAATGCCTACTATTCCTATCCTCATCAAATGGTTAATCGACAAGTTTGTAGTTTCCGTTGTCCGTTTTTGTTTCTTAACCTCCACGTAACATGGGTTTACCCCGCTGACTGTGCTTGTATTCCCTAAGTTCTGAAATGACAATGTTGCTGGTCTCTGAAACGTTTTCAATGAAGATATGATGAACATACCTTGCCTTTTCTTCTCTTTGAAATCCATACTTTAAGTTCTGCCTGTGGTATGGCGTTGTTGGGGATGAGTGTCGAGCGAATTTGTAGCATGGATTTTAGGGGTAATAGGATTTGAGCTAACGCGTATGGTAATGAGATATCACACTACCCACTTGAACTCTCATATGAAATCATTTGTAATCTTCACATCGATGGTCGGAACTTTCCTAAATTTGGAAGTATTTTTTCAATGAAAATAGCAATTCACAAACTAAAATATTACGTGACTCCCCAATCTATGTGGTTAGTATCAGGTACTCATGAAGTTTCTTATGCGTGTGAGGCTAAGATCAATGTCCAAATAATTCTAATGGAAAGTGAAATGTCCCCAGGTCGGCGTCAGTGCGTGGGGGAGCTGCTGGCCCGCATGGAGTTGTTCCTCTTCACCGCCGCCATCATCCAGCACTTCGACGTGCGCCCCCCGCCCGGCGTCGACATCAGCAGCAAAGACATCACCACTGTGCTCGGCCTCAGGCTTCCTTACGAATACAAACTCGTGTACAAGCCACGAGAGTAAACAACACAAAACTTTTTGCATTATTGCGCATCATACACGGAGTTATATATGATATTCTTCATTTATCTGCGTGTCATGGGAGACCGTAAAATCAACCAGAAGATTGAAAAAACATTTTTCAGCTCTTATTTAATCCGTATGTATTTTTTATTTATACCATAGGACATTCAAAGTGTTTGAACATTTACATTGATTAACATTTCTACGATGGAAAACCCTTACGATGGAACCCTTTCTACTTGGAAAAACCCTTAGGATATATGTTCAATTCGTCTTAAAGGATTTTGTTATGGTGAACATGTGTAACAAAATTTAAAAATGTGAAAATAATGCTTGGCCTTGCGTGGGAGGTTTGACTGCTATTGTTATTCTTACAATGTTATTGATTACTCTATTGTGCTGTCGTTATTTTAATGCTATATAGATCCGTCATTTGACACGTTTGAGCGCCGATCGCTGACAGAGTCGTTATATCGGATTTAGAACCTGCATGTAAGCTAAGTGTGTAATGAGCAGGAAGGAGCACCAATACGAATCACATGTCACGCCATAGCCTGGTCCTTACTGGAATTGGTCAACGTATCAAGATCTAAAAAATTCTAATTAAATCACCGTTCTGAGATTTATTCGAGATTTTAAGAAGCTGTTTTGATGCTGTAAAAATAACCTACATATCACCGAATAATTGATCATAAGAGATTTTTATAATTTATGAAGAATTTTGAAAAATATTTCAACGGCTCATGCAATACTGCTTGCCAGCTCAGTCTGAAATGCCATTTCCTAGCTGGTCACCATTTACTGCCGCAAAACCACTCGTGCGATCCAATAAATGAAAAATGCACACGTTTTCCTTGCTCTTTTTAAGCCATTCATGAAAAGTATGAGATATATTCTATCACAGGATAACATTTCACTCGAGCATTATTTTGCGTTTGACAGAATTGAATTCTATCCGGGCAAGGGCGTCTAGCCCAGCTCTTCGACTTGTTGACAACGCATATCATGAGAATAGACTAAGCTTTGGCTTTTGTCACATAGAAAATGTATGTTATTATAAGCTGGAGGTGGTATGTGATTCTAACAATCTAAACATTGAGTGGAAATTACACCGGCAATATTTTTATCCTTCGACATATGGTGTTTTGGATACCGCAGCCATGATAGATATAATAAATAATAATAATAGCGGTTTCAGCGTTCACTAGGCTGTGGGCCTGTCGCCGATTCTTAACATCGCAGAACATTCACAGCTGGTTGCGTGCTTGAACTCGCAACTCACTGACACAATACTGCTTTGCTTAACCGTCCGGCCTCCTTGCCGATTCTGACCAGAAACTGGCGCACAGAGCTGGGATCGAACCCGCGCCTCTCTGCGCCAATCTTGGTACTCTGAACTTTAACCACTGGGCCACCCTGCCCACCACTGGGCCACCCTGCCAATCGCTCCAATCGCTACGATTATGGAGGAAACTGAGAACTGCTTTAAAATTAAGTATGTTGTTATCGATGCTACTCTTATATCTTTGTTAGCTTTTTTATTTAATGAAAGAATTACAACTTTACTGCTAACGAAACTTGCGGCTAGTAACTTGCAATACATTCATGCAGCAAGGAAACTTGCAAATAATTCCTTGCTGCATAATTGTATTTGTTCTGCTTTCCTTACTTGCATAACAAATAAAGTGTCACGATGCTTCTAGCATGCACATTTTTTAGTTAGACTTAATTTTCTCAGTACGGTTATAGGATCTCTGAGGAGAATCTATCTTCACTTGCAGACTTGTAGTTGTGGCCACCCTTGAGAGGATGACAATTCCCAATCCTGACACGTGGTCGGGGATTGCGGACTTCATTCGCCTGGTGAAGCAACGAACGTGTAAACACATTTGTATGGTCGAGACTTCAATATTTGACGGCATAATATTATCGGGATAAAGTTGTTAGGCGATCAAAGTTGTCTACGCTGAGTTTACTTCAATACTTTTGCAGCAGCTAGAAACTCTTGAGCAGCAGACACAAGATATGTGCCAGATGCTAGAAGCGTATGCCCATTGCCACAGCAGATAAGGGAAAGAGACTTAAATGATATGGTAGCGTACAACAGCATGAAGTAAATGCAAGCGATGAATTACAAATTTATATTAACCGATTTCAAGGTACCTGGATATATATTTCTTTGGATATTTCACGCGCAAAATCAACGCAGTAAAATCAAATTCGAGAATCATGTCAAAAACGCAGAATGGTCTTCTAAGTGATAGGATGGAACTTCCTGCGCTAACTTGGTTTTCATTTACTTAAACTAATTATGTAAAAGAGTGCTAATCCAAGCTGCACTTTCACAGCTGCATTTCGTAGCATATTTAGCTTCTTTGCATCTTTACCTGTTTTTTCGTCGCATCTTTAGCTGTATTATAAATTTCTCTATAATCAGCAGACTAGGAGCATGAAATAGTGTGGCTTTACTGCAAGCTAATAAAATGTTGGTGCCGCCATATCGCCTGGCCGGGGATGACGGCCATTAGTGTTGAGTGAAAAAATTAGATCAGTACTCACTGCAGTGAGTGACAGAGCGCATTTTCTCGTTCGTCCGTCCGTGAAGTCACGGACGTACATGACGAGCACAATAGCGCGTTTTTTTCATGAATGAGAAAATGCGCTAAAAAGACAGAAGTTCAGAGAAATAATATGTCATCTTCAATTGACAACAGAAGATATGGGGAATCCTAAGGATATTGGAGCCAACCAGAAAGAAGTGCGTTACGTTTGAGGTGAGTGAGACTACCTCACTAGCTTATCCTGGATCAATTTAGCCTCTTATTTGCTTTTACATGAAAAGATGCATATTTAGTCACATAAACTAGTGTATGGGTATTACGAGGCAATTACATATTTGTTATATGTTTACAAGACGCTATATAAGACAATAAAGAGGTAATAAAGTTCACATGCATTCTAATTTATCAAACTCCTGTCATTTTCATGACCTTGACATTTAATTTCTCATTAGAGCCTGGCATCATTGTTCTTTTTGTCTTTGTTTTTTTCCGATCCCAATAAATGATTTCGATCCAAATAAATGTTTCGAAGACATGAGAATCTTCGTTAGATATTTTAACAAAATCGTGGGAAATACATTCATAACATTTAGGCTATCGAAAGCTACTAAGCACGTAACAGATTTCCCCCAGATTTACTCTTAGCAAAAAACATTGAGAAACGATCTACTATATAAATCTTTGCTCTGAAGTCGACGGTGATGCAGGTTTCTCTTGTTAGCCAAAAATAAATCCTGAATTTAGAGCGAGTTTTAATAAACACCGACTTGCTTTATTTGAAATTCGGTGGTATGATAAATCGCAATCAAGGCGAGCCTAAACTCTATTGTTCGACCATGTTGCCAGGCGTCTGTGTATTTGACTTTTGACATAGTTGACTTTTCTCAAATGCCCTATTAGCTAGATGCCGAAGAGGATGTTTAAATAATGAAATGCATAGGCACGCTAGCGAGCCTCCTTTATGGCGCTCGTCCGGATTAAAGCGTAAATGACTTTAACCTGTAGGAAGGAGCTAGAACAGTCTGTATCAACAACCATTGCGGCACAGAACTTTGTCTCGATGCAATTTTCTGTTTGTATCCCATCGACCATGGTTCATAACAGCTTCTACACATGAGCCCTGCACATGAGCTGTTACAGAATCACTTTTCGCAACTTAATTTGTAAATGGGAAATTAGTTTCAGAAATCATTGATATTCGTGTAGAGACATTTTTCCTGGTAGTCATTTGCATATAGTCTATTATGGAAATGCATGCCACTATTTAGAAGAGTTCCTTGCAATCTTCTGTGTCATCATAGGCAATGGGCCTATTTTCTTCAATGCCGACACTTCTATTCTATTCTATCAGAGTTCCTTCAGTAAGACAAATAAATTAAAAAATAACACCTAATCGCATAAAAAGTGTCTATATTATGGGAAAAGAAGATTTCTCGAATTTTTGAATTTTATTTTGGATAAGCAGATAATTATTAAGAACTTATTTTGAGATAATCGATCGGTTTAGCATTGGGGAAACATAGTTGAAACTTACCTTGAAACTATTCAATAATTTCACCCATATGATATTTTCATTCTTTATATATGCTCTTATGAAGGAAAATTCATTTCACCTACATTTGAATCGGTGAACTAAATTTTTTCAATCCGTAGTCCGGAATGTTATTCCGGAAATGATGTTTACTTCTGCGATTCTGTCAGAAGCATCCTCATTTAATCGTGGTTAGTGCCCCCAGGTGAGTGGTTAGTGCCCCCAGGTGAGTGGTTAGTGCCCCCAGGTGAGTGGTTAGTGCCCCCAGGTGAGTGGTTATGCCCTGGAGTGGGACTCTCTGCCCTGGAGTGGGACTCTCTGCCCTGGAGTGGGACTCTCTGCCCTGGAGTGGGACTCTCTGCCCTGGAGTGGGATTTTCCACCCCGGTGTGGTCTCCACTTTGGCGGCCCCATTCTGCAGTCATTCAGCCGTCAAGAAACATGGACAACTCTTCAGAACACCTAAATTTGTTGCTGCACCTAATTTTTCCTTACTAACACCGTAATTTCCTTAAACCGTCCTGTCATGGGGCCACATTGAACAAGTATTCAGAGGCTCCCATAAACTTTGATTTAAGAAGAAGAAGAATCTAATGTATTCACCTTCCAGCCGTCAACAACAACAAATTAACCCATGTATTGCAGTTGTTGGAGAATAGGCCCTGAAGTTGGAATTCAAAGCACCTTATTTCATGTAAAGTGTTAGTAACCACTGAAGAATAGGGTGAGTTGGGACCGTTGGGGCGTTGGCCATTGCCTATTCTTGCTTTTGAAATTTTTTATGACCTGTTCACAGCCTCACAGGATGTCTGCCCTTAACACTTTGACTCCAATTGCTTCATCTTGTGCTATTATTTCAGTTTTGTACCGTTTTTAAACAGGGTTGGCCTGGGTGACCAGACAGTTATTTTTTCCGGACAAATTCTGTGATTTAGTTTTTCACAATTGCGTTGGCTGGCAAAAATTTATGATAGGGGTACTTCGAAACTAAATTTTAAGTACTGCAAAGAGAAAATAAATGGAATTTTTATAGCGGAACCTACAAATAAACTAGTATACATTGAGTTATCTGTTATCGGCCTTTTTTGGCCTCTTTGTTCATGGATTTTGCTGATTTTAGGCAACCAAGATTTACATTCTGGTTAGCAAAATGCTTTTCAAACATTTAGAAAATAGAAGTTTATTCAATGGCTTAATAGGTAATTGGTTTGAATTTTAAGAATATTCTATCAACAATTAAATATAATTTTCATATACGACACTATCTCAATTTTCAAATATGTCACTATCTTGACATGAACAATAGATTTCATTTATTTATAAAAGAGAGTAGGTAGTGCATGCAAAGCCAAAAATCATTGACAAAAGAGCAGGGTTGGCGATTTTTTTTATTTTTTTAAGAAAATCAAAAAAATAAAAAATCAATGATTTTTTTGATTTTTTCATGATTTTTTTGATTTATTTGATTTTTTTTTATTTTTTCAACTTTTTTGTCTTTTTGAAGTGTTATTTTTTATGTTGCAGTAAGCCTACTAACAATAACAGTATATGGATCAAAATGGATGGCTAAAAAGGGCACTTATTGCCTTCAATAATGGCCAACAGGCCAAGGTGATGTTTACCACTTAGGGATTTTTGGGTAAACAATTATTGATAAGTCTATTCATTAGCTTTGTAAAGTTTATATGGAGCAAGGTAATAAGCTAAATATTGACCATTTAACTGGCTTCAATATACAAAAACACTTCAGGAATGCAGATCTTCTAAACGTTGAAGAGTCACATAACAGATAGGTAGCTGATTGCACAGTGCACAGCACTATCGATAGATCTACTAGTTTCATGTCCTATAAATCTACCAGACTCTACACTCTATACACACTGACTAGAAATGACTGAGTGACTGACTGCACTGTTCCCAGTTAATTCAGACCAATAAACAAATACTAAACATAAAATAAACATAAACTGAACAATAACCAAACAAACCTCATACGACTTGAAACGAGACTTAAGTTATGAAAAAATCTAATACAGTTTGAAATAAACATGTGCACAATTCAAATATTTTATATCTATTCACTGCATTTAAATATTTTATGTATAGTCTTTTAATTGTAATTGTTTTGTTTTGTGTTTTAAATTCACATATTTAAAGATTGAAATTAAATATTTTAATTAGAATACTCGTATTAGGGTGGAAAATCTTTCTAATTGCCCAAAAGGTCAATACAATCTCAACCTCTCAATATACAGGGTGGGGGTGAACCGATTGAGCAGTTTTGAGGTAAAATAAAAGAGTAATGGAGGTACATAAAGAAGAAAGTTTATTTTCCTAGAGGTTAGCATAACATACCATTTAGAATACTTATGTTTTGAAAACAATATCTGGAAGATAGGGGCCGTTAGCTGCAACACACTGTTGGGAGTCGTTCTCAGAGGAGGGAGTAACCGTAACAGTGAATTCCGATCGCTATGCTGCAATGTTGCAAAATTTCTTGCAGCCCATGATGGTAAACATTGTTTAAAATGAAGCATTGGGAGACGTGTGATTCCAGCAGGATGGGGCTACAGCTCACACAGCCCGAGCCCCAAATGTCGCTCAATGTTTTGAAACGCATGTTCCCAGACTCTGAGGGGTGATTTACAGTGGCCTGCAAGGTCACCTGATATGAGCAATTGTGATTTCTTTCTTTGGGGACATCTAAAAGAGAGGGTATTCAGAAGTCACCCTCACATCCTACCACAGCTAAGGGAATGGATTATTGTAGCAGAGATTATGGCCATACCTTGCCATTTGTTTGAACCTGTTGTAGGAAACTTCTGAGAACGACTCCAAGTCTCCAACAGTGTGATGCAGCTAACAAACACCATTTTCCTGATATTGTTTTCAAAACATAAGTATCTTAAATGGTATGTTATGCTAATCTTGAGGAAAATAAACTTTCTTCTTTATGTACCTCCATTACTCTTATATTTTGCCTCAAAACTGTTCAATCAGTTCTGCCCCACCCTGAATAAGCTAGCTAACACATTTAAATTGTATATTGTAATCAATATATAGCAAATAGTCAAATAGTTAGTCAAAGACTACTTATAGCCTTATAAGAATTAGCTAAGCTGCTAGCTACGTACAATGTATTGCACTCTTGATGCCTCTGTACCAAAAACATTCAATTTATTGGAACCTAATACACACTAAAGGCAACAAGTTTATATACCAATTTGTCATTCATAGTACATTTATACTAAATCATGAATAACAATACCTCAATATAAATTAAAGACTGCCACTCAATATATTTAAATATATGAAAAAATCAAAAAATCAAAAAAATCGAAAAAATAAAAAAAATCATGATTTTTTTTTATAAAAAAATCAAGTGATTTAATCACATGATTTAATCATTTTGATTTAATCACTGCCAACCCTGCAAAAGAGAGATTTTTAGAAGCAGTTCATTTCTAATTGCCTGATCAAGTTCTAAATTTTTTAAAATATCCTATGGAACTAGGGAGTAAATACCAGGAGCTGATTCCTCCACAGCACAGGAAGGTCAGCATAAAAGTCTCATTTATCACCATGATGCAAAAATGTCAGTGATAAGTCATGATTTTTATTATGGCTAATATTAAAAGAATTACTAGATGCAAATTTGACTGTCCACATAACATTCAAGGCAGAGGTAAATCAAAAAGATCTTTTACACAAACAATTTGTATTGTACATATTATATTAACATAACATTTTGAAAACATAAAAATTGTATTTCCAGGTCCTTCATATAAATGGCTTCAAGAGAGGCTGCTCGTGAAGCTCTCCACTATGTGGCTATCAACTTGAGCCCATTTCTTGCTTTGGCAAACTGCCACTTGGTGGATGTGTTTGTGTATGATGTATGGCACAAAGTCTTACCTCCGCTGCTATGGGATTGTCTCAACGAAATTTCACCAAAGGATCTGTGCTCCATGTTTGGACCTTCTCAGGAATCTACTCAACTACTTGGTGAGCAGAGACTATTAGGGTAATTCATCTTAATGCACCTTTAAGATAAATATTGGTATAGTTTGGCCAAAGCTTTTCATTTATACAAGTTTAATTTAAGAGTAGAGAATGAATTCTATCAAAAATTTTTTTGTTTCTTTAGGAAGAAACATATTCTTTGGACATATTCTTTAGGAAGAAACATATATATGGTAAACTGATGGAAAATATTGTATAGTCTCCATTTTGTCGGGGCACTACATAATAAATAATTTGATTAGTAATAATGATGTTCCAGTTACTAAATTTTATTTTTGAAAAGTTCTAGTTTGAAGCAATGACTTTGGGACATTGTTTATTATTGAAACCACAAGGTTTATAATTTTTCTAATTGATTATGAATTTTTTACACTTTGAGTGCACACAACTTTTTAGCAAAAAAGTGCCTTGTCTGTGCTATTTGGGCTGAAATACTGAATTTTTTTATCATCTTTGAGTTTCTTACATTCATTTAGTGGATCTCTTTTACTATTTCAAAAACAGCTCAGGAAAATTTGATACCGGTACTGGAAACCCCAGTGCATACTTCATGAGTGAGCACACTATTTCATTGCTTATTGAAGCCTGACAATTTCAAAATTTATTCTGTACTATGTGCAATTCTTATTAAATGGCTGACAAACTTGAACTGATAAGTTTTATCATAAGTTTTTTCTATAATTTATAAAAACAACTTAATAATGATCACGATTTATTGTTCATGAAATTCTCTTATGTGTCTTCATCCATGTATCATGGCTCTTAGATTTACAGGAAGAAGATATCAATGCTAACATTTTCTTACAGACTGGATCAAGAGTGACCTCCCATCTTTGCACAAGTTCCTTTGTTGCTGCACTTGATGCATGTCAGTCAACTTGGTGTACTGAGCTCCAAACAAGAGGTTTGTAGGCTCATTTTTCTCTTCATACCTCAATAATTGGTTTCTTTGTTGCTTTTTCATTGGTAATCAAGTGTGTTAACATATTAAAATTGAATTTCTTCACCCTTTCTCTTGTGATATGTGTATTGTTGGCACAAATTGTGTAGATGATCAGTTTGAAATTTGAAATAATGAAATGATGGAAGAAATGTAAAAAACATAACTAACAGCACTGTTTCTAATAACTGTTTGCACCTCATCAAGTTTGAGCAAACAGAGAACAAATTGAAAAAGCTGTTTGACCAGAAGTTCATTTATGAGAGGTCTGCAATGTGTGACGAAATTTGAACCTGACTTGAGACAAAATTTGGATTGAATGAGGGCGACATTGGTGACATGGATACTACAGAATAGCATTTACAGAATAGCATTTACAGAATAGCATTTACCCACTGTACTATTGATTCACTATCTTAACTGAAAAGCTTAGGATTTGATTCCATTCATGACCACACCCTGCCCCGTACATGTAGCGTTTTTCCCAAATGTTATTCACCCCCCCCCCCAAAACAAAATTTTTCCCAAAGCACCTGGGGGTTTACTAAGCATTGATTTCCATGCTGGTTGATTGATTACAATTAATTATTTCAGAGCCATAAATTTGAGGGAACAGGTACTTGCAGCGGCACAGCAGCACGCCCCGCCAGCGACCGCCACGGAGGACCTGCAGTGCCTCATGCCACTGAAGAAGGCGCATGAGGGGATGGCCATGGCGGAGCTTATGGCGGCTCTCTGTGCCGGTGAGAGAAGAGGGGGTGCTGGTGAGACGAGGAGGTGCTGGTGAGACGAAGGGGTGCTGGTGAGACAAGGAGGTGCTGGTGAGACGAGGGGTGCTGGTGAGACGAAGGGGTGCTGGTGAGACGAGGGGTGCTGGTGAGACGAGGAGGTGCTGGTGAGACGAAGGGGTGCTGGTGAGACGAGGGGGTGCTGGTGAGACAAGGGGGTGCTGGTGAGACGAAGGGGTGCTGGTGAGACAAGGAGGTGCTGGTGAGACGAGGAGGTGCTGGTGAGACGAAGGGGTGCTGGTGAGACAAGGAGGTGCTGGTGAGACAAGGAGGTGCTGGTGAGACGAGGAGGTGCTGGTGAGACGAAGGGGTGCTGGTGAGACAAGGAGGTGCTGGTGAGACGAGGAGGTGCTGGTGAGACGAAGGGGTGCTGGTGAGACGAGGGGGTGCTGGTGAGACAAGGGGGTGCTGGTGAGACGAAGGGGTGCTGGTGAGACAAGGAGGTGCTGGTGAGACGAGGAGGTGCTGGTGAGACGAAGGGGTGCTGGTGAGACGAGGGGGTGCTGGTGAGACAAGGGGGTGCTGGTGAGACGAAGGGGTGCTGGTGAGACGAGGGGTGCTGGTGAGACGAGGGGTGCTGGTGAGACGAGGNAACTGAGGGCAGCATGCAACTGAGGGCAGCATGCAACTGAGGGCAGCATGCAACTGAGGGCAGCATGCAACTGAGGGCAGCATGCAACTGAGGGCAGCATGCAGCTGAGGGCAGCATGCAACTGAGGGCAGCATGCAGCTGAGGGCAGCATGTATCTTCCATATCATCATAAACATGCTGCATAAATCTTTCATGGATCGAATCATGTTCCCTCGATCACCAACTCCAGTATGATTGTTAATTGATTTATTTAATAAATTGCTCAATTTTGACTATAAATGTAAAATTTTTCCATTTCCGATTGAGAATTCATTATGAACAATTCACTCAGGGTTTTTTTACTTCCGACTTAATAGGTAACATTTTTTTGGTCCAAGAATATTGATAATTTTTTCGCGTTAATTGCGTGATTATGGACATGATTGATATTAAACCTTAGTGTAACTTACTTCAATTTCTGCGCAATGGAGTTCTACTAAATTTATCGGGCATTACTGATGGAAATTCTTCGTCGCAGCAAAGGGTTTAGGAGGCAATCCAAATGTTAATGCAAACAATGAAACAAACTTACATCATACTTGTTTCTATTGTTGATATATTTAACATTATTTGTGTGAATTTATTCCTTTTGAAACCGTGATTAGCCTTTAATCTATAAATATATCATTGATAATTAACTTCAAACAGCAGGTCCGAATATGTACTTTTCTTGACTAGTTCGCAGATCTAAAAGAAAGCCTTTTAATCAAATCTTTTCAACGGTCGGTAGGTTTAAAATCGTTTCTAGACTTTGTTGTTCCGTAGGATACGAGGCATTTCATGACTAAACATATGCTACTGCATGGCCTTGTCTAGTGTGTACTTGATCGCGTTCATACTCGGAGCGTCAGCAATATCTTCAGGGAGGCTGTCTTCCACATGTCGGTGACTCGAAGCGAGAAGAAGTGTTGTCGAATGGTTGAGTTGCACCGCAGTTTTTCTAGTTTCGGTATAGCTGTGGCCCCTGGTTTTGATTCAAGTTTCCAATTCTATGAGTCCTTCTGGGACCTTGTAAAAACCACAAGTAAACTTGCATACTTCAACGAGGTTAGCACTCAGTCGACGATAACAGACTGGGAAGTTTCCTAATCTTCAATCTTTCTTCATGAAATTTGCCACTATACCTGGAATTATCCTTGTTGCACGTTTTTGAACACTCTCGACTCATGTTTTTCAAGTTTCGGTGACCACACAACGTGTCCAAACTCTAGGTTCGGGCGCACGACAGAGGTGAACAGCAGCTTCATCATTTCTATATCTAGGTACTCGTAGGGGCGTCTGATCAGCCAAGCAGTTTATTGGATGTATTAACTTGCGTTTCAATATGCCTAGAAAATTTTAGCTCCTTGTCGACACAAACTCCAAGATCTTTTCCCACGCAAGACTTCTCAATCATAACCCTCTCGTTGCAACCGTGTCTTCTCATGCTGTAAGCTTGCTGTTCATTGTTCATGCCGAGATAAAGTACTTTATACATGTCAGCATTGAAACGCAGCTGCCACGCATCAGCCCAGTCAACTAAACTGTCAAGATCATTTGCAGTTGCATTTTAATTCACGCATCCTTAACTGTATTAAAAACTTTTGTGTCATCGGCATACATGGAGCATACGCTTGATTCTACTTCTGGTAGGCATGACATGAGGCATCAAGGCGGGCCAGTGGCGTAGAAACACTACGGGAAATAGTGCCGACGTGCTTTCTCTGGTCCTAAATATATACTAAAGGGATCTTATTCTAAATTAAATTCTGGAAAAATTCGTCTCGTTTAGTATTAGCCTCTGCAAAGTTCGAACCCCGTTATTCAAACCAAAGAGAATATATAGATGTCTGACATCTATAAATAATAGAAGAATTGAATAGAATTGTCGGCACTGAAGAAATAGGCCCATGGCCTATAATAATGACAGTAAGAATGAATAATGAATTGATTAGTAATATAATGACACCTTTGCAACTGGCATCAGCTATTTCGAAGAAAACTGGGCTGGCCCTTCACGGTTACATCCCTGCTGAGAGATGAATTCCCAGCCGAAAAACAGTGGCCATACTTGTCCCTAGCTATACATTGACAAGACCTAATAAATGACACATCAAAGCACCTACGCCCAAGAAAGAAGGAGCTTAAGAATAAATACGGTTCGGGTCCGGGTTTTAGTCACTTGGTCCGGGTCCGGGTTTTAGTCATTTGGTCCGGGTTCGGGTTTTAGTCAATACCGCCAGATTAGAATAATGCATCATGTACAAATGTGTCCGATGAGATGACTGATCCCATGTTTAGGCTAAATCTTGAGAGGAATATTTCATGTTAGTGTTACACAAGTTAATTAATGTTGACGATAGACATATCGATTATTACCGCTGAGGCTGAACGCTTTGTAGTTCAATGGATGAATGTTGCTGAAAAGCTTTACCTATAACTTTCAAAATCGTGATGTTATGTGATGTGACTGCTTCAGGGGCAGGCCTCGCAGCCATAGGTCACTTGCATCAGAATTCAGGAGAGTTATCCTGAGGGAAAGTAAGAAGTGTTAACATAAGTTGAAAGTTTTTATTTACACTACAATAGTACAACTACAAGTAAGTTTATCGGCTTCATAAAAAATTCACCGCCGTCGGCCCCTAGAGGCTAGACTTGAACCTTAGACTGAACCTATACTGGACTCTGGCTAGAAAGAAGAGATGTGGTTCAGTTTTATTTATAAAATGAATGGTTTTCTTTTGGCTACTTATTCCATTTCAAGCCGGCAACAACAACAAAATGAATGGTTTCCGTTGAGTCTTTGAGGCCCAGCAACACAGCCAACGCTCACGGGCGTCACGGCTCCAAAAATCCAGTTTCAGGCTGCGGCTCACCGAGTAGATATTTTTCTATGCCAGCTACCTGCATAACCAAAGCCTTCAAATAAAATTGAAAAAAAAGCATTGTAGACTCATGTGCCTCAACTGTTTGTAATGCATAATTATGTATTATGATCTGTTGTAATCTCACATAAAATGATAGCATCATGGTGTCATTCTATGTTAATTATATAAGAACATGAGCTTTAGGCTAATTGCACCGCAACGAAAATGTCGGACCGCCGCAACACGTGTCACACCTCACCTCACGACGATGTCTTCATGACTGTCGGAATCCAAATGTAAACATAGCCAGCTGATTAGCAGAGCGAGCGCTGATTGGTCACCACTCAGCAGCCAACTGCCTTCTGTATTTGAACTGTCGGGTTCCCTGAGACCAGGGACGCATGTCATTTTTTCGCAATAAATTAAAGAAAATGCATACATATGTATTCATACATAGCTTAAAAAATCGAGAAAAAAATAACAAAAATGATGATAACAAATTTACCCTACTTTACGCCTGAAATAAGTCAAAATTCTTGAAAAATCATAATAAGGAAATGCATGGTAATATCTTTTACTAAATAGTGCATAGTAATACTGATGAAGACATTGGTACAATGCTAAATATATGCGTGCCTACTTGCTAATACCAAGTAGTAGCAACTAGTGCATCGGCATTCATTTTTATTGGTATATTTGAATACATTTGTACGCGTTAAAAAGCAATAGTACGTTCAAATTTTAAATTAAATTTGATTCGAAGACCAACCAATATTCGGAAGTCGGAACGCAAGCTTAAGTCAGTTAGTCCTTAAAAAAAACACAGAAAACTGGTTACACTTTAAATTCCTAAAACTTTCGTCTATTATATTATTTATCCAAAAAATGTCATGAAATTAAGCTAAAATAATATAAACGATCATTTTTAGTAATTTTCGTGCAAAATAATGACGCACATGAAAAGAAGTTTAGGTAGGTTATGTATAGACTATTCGAGCTGAAGTCGAAGCCAGTAAATGTATTCGATTCCAAGTCAACCTAGATCATCAAAAAAAATTACGGAAAATTATTCCTAAAGTTGTATTATTAAAATGCTCTTTTGAGATATTAATTGCTCAATTAAAAAGATGTACATTTATTCATATAAGTAAGTAAGTTATATTCGAATTTATTATCATTAAATTTCGCTCAACACAACAAGCTCAAGCCGTGACAGAGAGTTTGAATAAGATAAGGAGTTCTCGGCTTCCCGCTTTCCTGTCGACATCCATCATACGTTGAACAGCCTTAGAGCCTAGAGGCAGTGTCACGTTCTACTGAACCTTCTCGAATCTTGTGCAATCTATATTTCCTGTGTTTAATAATTACTGTTTTTGTTGATTCCAACGGGCAACGGCTTGCCGAATTTGCAGTAAGTACTAATTATAAATTTGAATTTCTTTCATTTCCATAACAAAAATGTGTCGTGCATGATTTCGTCATTAAAGTAAAATAAAAATATGTTATATGTGATAATGTGTAAGCATCGCAATTACGATTGATCTGATGTTGGTTGATGGTT